AAATAATCGGTGACTAGTCGACTATCAAAATAATCGTTTGTGGCAGCCCTAGTCTATACAATACACCCTTACTTAACACTCGGTGCCTTTTTTGCCTAAGAAACCACAATTTGAAATAAGGTTATAATTGCTAGAATATATTTGAAAAAAGCTACAACTGTACAATAAAAAACTGTGACTTATTACAAGCTTCTCATTACTTAAAGTGATATTTATAAAAGATACAGTACTGTGTACTACGTGACTAAAGCTGAGGTTCATACCTAACCGTGCACTCTGTATGCACCCCTGAGTACGTGCTTTATTTTAGCAACAGTGCAAAAATGTATGTCTAAAAATTACAAAGAAACTCCCGTTGAGTGCTGAATTAAAAAACAAACAAACAAAAAAACAAAGTATTATTTCCTCAGTTTTCTTTGTAAACATATCAGCAGCTGGAATCCATCTGCTAATATACATTTAATACATCTGGTTTCATTCTATATTGATGCTGTTGTGCAATTTTGTTGGGAGTCTTCCAAATGTCAAATATTTCACGGGCAAAATGTGCTCTACTAACAACAGTCGTTAGCTGCACCCTAAATTCAGGCCATCTCCCTGGCGGTTAACTTTCCAAACTGACAGCTTAAAAATTATCCCAGCAGACACTTGTTTATTTTTTAAGCTTTCTGTGAAGCCGTCACACAAATAAAATGTTAAAATATCCCACGGGATGTGAGTAAATCTGACCCCAAAAAGTCACTGCGAGGCAGTAACTTCGACACGGGTCATCTGCCAGGTAAGTTAGCTAACGTCAGGACACCAGAACTAGCCGGGGGGGCTAACTAGCTAGCTAGCTAAGGTTAGCAAACAAATATACTTTGAGCACAGAGACACTGACAACGGCACAAACACCAAATGCAGTGCCCAAACGTTGGCTTAGATTTAGCATGTGAGTGACTTTTAAGTGACTAACAAGTCAAACAAGTGTGCACCAGCACCATAACCATCATCATCATCATGCGTCCTTATCAAGTCGCCCCCCTCCGACAACAAAAGCCCAACTTGATCCAACAGATTCCTGCACAAGCTTACCGTTGTGGCTCACCCAGCTCGGCTTCAGCAGCTTCATTTTCACCCCGGGTATTTTATTTTAAATCCCTTCGAAACAAAAATCCATCCAGCGCTCACTTTCGGTTCATGGGAAAACTAACGAAAAGCTCCCTCCTATTGTCTCAAACTCCGTCCGACACTTTGTTGATTGCGCGATTCAACTCCCATCTCGCAGCATCCCCGAGTCCCCGAGTCGACCAACGGACAGCAACAGACAGGCGGCCCCGGATGACAAACGGGCGAACACCAGGCAGCTCAGGAAGTGTTTCCGTAAGTTTTGACCGCGGACAGGAAGCGGTGCAGGCAACATATCATAATACACCCACGGGGAGAGTTAAAATAGAAGACAACTACCAAAAGATAATTATTTGTGATTTTTTACTTATTAATTTTTTCGAGTGCAAATACTCAAATGTTAAACCCGAAAATCAACTCAAATTCACACCGTTTGTGTCGATTGGATCTGACGCGGCTTTTATTTTGAAAGGCTAAATGGCAGATTAGTGCGCAAACTCGGAGTTTCTTTTCGACAATTTAGCACAATTTAAAATGTCTTTTAAATATTCTTGAAAATAAAACATTAAACATGCACTAAGAACAGTTAAAATATGTTTTTATATTGGAGCTGAGAAGTTTCTGGCCAACTTCTAATTTGTTTTTGCTTCACCCCTTAGAGCTGGAAAAACAAATATAATAAAATTCAGATATTGTTTTGGATGCTTGTGTGGTGGCAATCTAATCCTGTTTACAGTGTGTTTATACAAAACTTTGTCCTTTATTTCAAGTCACTGAAATTTGCAGAAAAATTAAGCAGAAAGGTAAAACAAACAAACAAAAAACTGCACACATCCTTATCACAGTCTTTGCTTTTGCGAAAATGTGTAAAAGGATGCATATGGTCAACAATACACAGGTAGACTGAGCAGGCCAAGTAGACTCAGTTAGGAGGGTCTCAAATTTTGCACAAAAGTAACCTCTCACATTATACCAGCAGCAGCTTAAATCGTTGATACAAGTATGTATGCATAGAGGATGGAGCCATGCATATATGTTATTTATGCCAAATGCTGAATCTGTAATTTGAATATTGAAGCAGAAATGAATACTCAGCCTCAGTTTATGGTTTTTACCTGACAGGAATGACACCGGGTATGGTCATCTGTACATTCAGAGATCCTCTTCTGCTTACCTTGGTCATAACGAGTGGTTATTTGAGTTACTAGTCTCAACCATTGTATTAAGGCTGATGATAGAAGGTGATTTGAACAACAACCCCAGGTGTATGTGGCTCAAATTCACCAGATACACAACAGGCATGGGGCTGATTACCAACATTGATGAGAGAGAGCCAATTGACAAATAACATAGTAGTGGATTCCTGAAGGTCCAAGAGAACAGACCCACCCCCCAAATATAAATCAGTTGTCAGGATGTGGAGATTAAATTTGTCTCTGTCCACCTCTCAGAGTACCTGACCTGGACCACTCACATCTTTACTGTCACTGGCAGGGCTCAACAATGTGTATACATCCTGAGAAAGGTTGGGCTACCTCAGAACCTAATTTCTGCCAGGATCCAGCTACATGCAATCAGTGGCATCTTTAAGACCTGGCACCAACAACAACACTTAAAGTGACTTAAATTTCCTACTTGTTAATGTTACTGTTAAGTGGCAGTCAAAAAGATCTTAAGGGGTCTTTATGATAAGATTGAAACATTTATCACCTGGAACTTAGATGTTTCATCAAAAAATGTTACGAGTGTAGGTAATAATTCTGTGTCATACCAGAGTCATAGAGGAGAAACTAGGGAAATAACCATGACTTTATTCTGTTCAGGTGAAATTCACAATGAATTTGTAAAGAATACACAGACACATTAATAGAAACATCTTTATTGATCACAAACTAAATTAAAAAAAAAAAAAAAAACCTGATTATTATTCTTTTCCAGTAGAGTGATCAACAAAAACAATATGTTTAAGAAAAGGTGATATTTAATTAACATAACTCACTACTTCACAATGTGACTTACGTGACTATTATCATAACCTCAAGGGTGTATAAGTCATATAATGTGTGTTTAAAACATTTTTCAAGTGTATCCCAAAAGAAAAATGATTATAAAACTTTAAAGAAAAAACACATTTTTACAGTTCACAGCTAAAACCCCCCAAAAGAACAATGCCATCACATAAATCTTCCCTGATGGTGTAAATTACACACAGGTAAATTAGTGTAAACAGCTTACTCACTTCTACCAAAATGTTACACTTTTGTTCTGTCTTTTGCTAGAGTCCTTAAAAAGAGTCAGAACAATAGGAAATATTCTTATCCAGCAACGGAAAAAAAACGTAAATGACCCGGAAGAAGTCACTGCACGTGTCTGCCTGCTCAATTTAGAAGCTCTGTTTAAACAAACAGAGGGAAAAACAGTAGCTTATATGTATTTTTGGCATTTCATTTTATAGGGAAGGCAACACTGGAATCCATTACTACAACCCTCAGTGTGTTCCAACTTCATGCTAAACTGCTGTCCTGAGGAAAACTTGCCAAAATTGTCTTTACTGATCAGAACTGCAAGAAAGAGTACACCTGGGGGCAGTATAGAGTCAGCCCCCCTTTAGCCTGAATCTGGTCCCCTCTGTAGACTCTCAGTATCACAAAACTGAAAGGACTGCACTTAATTGCCTTATCAGATTATCTTACATTAAAGGATTCTGGACAGATTTCACATGAAAATAGCTCAAATTTGGCAGAACCTTACTGATGATCACAATGGCATCATGAACAACAGACGAATCAATGCCTCGTACACAAATACTGAAAATCATAACCTTCACGAAGGATTACTTCTTTCAGCCATTTCTGTAATATCCAAAGGTGATAAAGTGTTAATAATAACAAAGAATACCCACACAGTGTCCCAGGTAGAGCAGTGAGTTCAGAAATGAGCAGTTTTGTCTTTTAGTCTTTGCATGTGGCATCTTCAGGGACCTGACATCCCTCTGAAAGTTGCTTCGATTTGCTCCAGTGTCTTGCCCTTGGTTTCTGGGACGAAGACCATGGTGAAGATGACATTCAGGATGCACATGGAAGCAAATAGCCAGAAAGTTCCTGCACTGGTTAGAAGATTCTGCAAGGCAAATAGGTATCCGGGGGGGAGGG